AATAGGCGGAATTTTCAAGCGAAACAAAAGAGAGTCAAACAGAGATAGCGTAGTATATAAAATTCCTTGCGGTGGATGCCCACGCGTGTACTACGGGGAAACGGGAAGGGGTCTAAAAACGGGTGCAGTTATTTTTTTACATCTTAGTTTTTGTTTACGCGTTTTTAGACGTTTCTCGGCGCACTGTTGTTGAAGTTAGACAGGCCTATTTTACAGCTATTTTTGATTCACAAAACTGCTGCAATTTTTATAACTTTTCTTGCATATTGACATTTTGATGGAATTGGAATGCATTAACAGATTTTTATTCTTAACCCGCGCCCTGGTGGGGTCTGTTTATAACGCGACCTGGTGGGGGGGGGCTATTTTTTGCCCCCCCTCGTATCTCCGAAAGTACTGGACGGATCTGCAAAATTCAAACGGCGTTCGAAAGGCCTGTCAAATTTGTCGAAGGAAACCAAATTTCATTGACCTCGGGGTCACCGATGACGTCACAGGTCAGGTCAAAGATGAAATGTTTCACCGTTCACGGGGCTTCTAGGGAATGCGCTATAACACCGAGGAAAACGCATTTTGTCGAGAATCAGCGGTAGGGCGTCAGTTGCCTAGTAGATATGTTGCTATTAGAGGTCACTGGCAATACCAGGTCAGGTCACAGGTCAGGTCACCAAGGGTCACAGGTCAGGTCACATGAGCCCAACTTTACTAAGGTTGTGTGATACATGTTTTATGGCCAATTTTTCATTTCCAACTCAATGGTGTTGGTTATAAGACTATCAGGTACGGCTTAGGTCAGTTTCTGGTGAAGTTCAGGTCAACGTCAGGTCAAGGTCAGGCCAAAAAAGGTCAAATTTTAAAGTTGATAGTTTTGCATAAAATGGGTATTGATTCGATGCAGCTCGTCACGGGGAGTCTAATGGTGGTCTTTGTTTTGCGCTACGGGGTCTAGAATTGCTAAAAATTGAGTTTGAAAATTTGACGTCATCAATTTTGAACAGTTTTTTCGCTATAACTTCGCCAAAAAAAGAGGTATCAATCTCAAATTTGGTATGTGGATGGAAGGCGGTTAGGACTATCACATATATTCCGGTTTTTGCGAAATTCAAAAAACTTTTTGGATTTTTCGATTATTATATCCAAAAAATCTATTTTTTGATTTTTGGGGGTCAAAATCCAAAAATTTCAAAAATCCGAGATAGCAGTTTTGTAGCCCTGTCCAATCTACAGCTTTTATGTCCTTATCATTTTTCTGTATTTGCAAAGCTATAGGCCTGACAGCTCTTCCCGCGAAACCCTTTTTTGGGTCGAAAACGGCAGAACATGACGTCACTCTGACGTCATTTCCGGCCAACCTATCATAGCCTTTGGAAAAATTTTTGGTCACAATGTGTAAAATTGATGTCCGGGAGGGTACTGAAAGTTTGGTGACGATCGGCGCAGCGGTTCTGGAGATATATCGAAAAGTCTGGAGGGGGGGGCAAAAAATAGCCCCCCCCCCACCAGGGCGCGGGTTAAATCTTGAATGCCAATATAATAACAATGTGAATCGAGCCACGCTCATAGCGAAATATTACGAATCAATGATAATAACAGTAACCGGCAGAAAATATGTAGCTACCGCGATTGTATAAGATAATACTATATGTTCCGCGTGAAATTGACAGAGATACCACAAGAATAATAGCCTGAAATGATATTAAAATAACTGGAAGCTCATAATACCCGCTTAGCACTGCTAACGCTGACCATTTTCTTCGAACATTAAATGCTTATCACACCATAACATCTGAAGATAATGAACTTGAACCTCGAAAAGCGAGTTGTCCAGTTTCAGTCTCAGTTTGTGCGGTACTGGGATACATTCATTATCAGTGAATCAAATAAAAATTGGCCGGGGCATCATGCTGTGATTATATGAACCAGTTAATATGTATAAAATCTAGTTATTGGCCAAACGTAACGGCCACGGACCGTAGGTTGACGTCCCCGAAATTTAGCGAAATGAAGTATAGGTTCAAGCAGTTTAAATAATGCTGGTGCGTGGAGTTGAATAGTGATGTAAATGTGGCCACAGTCTACAAACACGATAACAAATATCGATTGCGCTTCGCTCAACCAGAGCCATGCTCGTTCTTCCTCATGAAGCAGTGCACCCCTATAAAATGAAAAGTCTGAACGAATGCATTCAGGTTCCTACCTCTGAATCACCTTATATTGAGATCCATTTCTTAACAGGAACACAAACGCGGCCCGTCAATTCGTCAGTACTAAGGCAACAGCGTCTGACAAGTGACAACGCATCAAATGGCCAACTTCTGACACTATCTACCAATACGGTAACGGCAATAAAATTGCATTGCAAAATGCAAATAAAATTGCACGATTTCCAAGCGCAGCTTGAAACCAAATCCGACCAGCTAGTGTCATTTTCACAACCAAGTGCGACCAGTTAGTGTCTCGAGACACATTCCAACTGCATAGGTACCGCAGTAACCCATTAGGGGCGAAAGGTAACACATGACTTGTGTACGACCAGCGTTCTGTCAGCGTACGACGCATAAAGCAAACTGCTCAAACAACTGCGGTCCCGAACAACACAACACAGAGCTCCGAAACGAATGGTTTACAAAAGTCTACGACTGACGACATCGAAACAGTACGTTCATCGGGACTAGTCACATGACTCGCTCAGCCCAGCTGGGTTAGGAGTACTAATTGCGCTTCAAATTGACCTCTGACAACCATTTACTTACGCTAGTTTGATGCATAAAACTGTACATTGACACTCAAGCAGCAGCACATAGGTCTCCATCAAGGTGGTTATATACAACAAAGCACCTCGCTAAAACGAGCGCGAGCCGCACTGTCACACTGACAGTTAACACTGAGCCACGAGTCGTGACAGTTGCACTGCGTCATATGCACGCAGATGTCGCACTCACGGCACCGTTGCTGGCACTGCGCTGCGGGTGGACACGCGCGGTGCAGTAGCTCCACGGTGTGCGGCTCACCGGAGGGATTACCAGTCTCCGACCGGACAGTCCAGGCGGGAAATGCGGTGTCTTCAACCATGACCGCCGTCCCCGTCTCCGCGGAGTGCCGCACGGCGGCGACGCGGCGGCGTCGGATCTTGAGCTGGTGGACACTTGGACTCCTGCCAGAGCTACCAGCTTCAGCCCTTCAGAGTTCAGCATCCTGTCATCAGCAAACTCCAGCAGAGCTCCAATGCAACTGGGAAAATAAAATTTATGCTGTTAAGCTATATCACACAAAACATTTCCTTGCACAGGATTCTCTTGTGCAGTTCAGCAAAATATTCTGTGATATCCATGGCCATGACAAGAGGACTTGATGCCATTGTAAAAAATATAGGTTCATTGGTTCTCATTTACCCACATCGAGCTTCTATAGGTACCATTCATTTGTATATCATGAAGTATGTTAACTACACAATATTTATGCAATAGACTGACATGAAATATGTAGGAATGGCAAGAGAGATGGGTAAATAAGCCAAATAGGTTGCAGGATTTATTGGCACCAAACAGGTCAGAAAGTGGTTCAAACAATCTTACAAACTACACCAGAGCAAGCCTTTGAATTAGGTACAAAATTATGCCACAGAAATAAAAACAATGCAGTTTTGCAGAGCATTTCCCAAAAGATAATTGTGATTCAGCCTTGCTCCCATTCTGAGATTGAATAAATACAAATTATTAGGTGAAAGTTACTAAAAAGCAGTTTTTTTTAGAAAACAGCTTCAATCCATCTTTGCCTGATTTCAAACTCAAGGCAACATCTCATAGCTTTGACAGCATGAAATTTCATTATTGAGGTTACAATTTCCATTATCTTGTCACAAACAGTGCATATTAATATGGATAACTAACACCAAATCAGGCAACCTTGTATCTTTATCTGGTGAAACTCAAGAAACCAATAAAGCAAACAATTTCTGAGCAAAACATTTAGGTATTTGACAAGCTCAAGCACCAGCCACTGGAGCGGTATGATGGGGTCTCGTAACTTGAACGTTCAGTCTGTAAGAGCGTGCCTGGCTTGACTTAACGGTTTTGAGGCATCACAAAGACCTTTTGCTTTGCAGCAGCTCCTCCTATTCTTTTTAACATAAACTTAAACTATCATTACCATGCCATGATGATGAGGTGACTGGTTTCGGGAGCATGAAAAGTAGCAGCCTTTCTTTCATTCTATTTCCTTGTTTTCACATGCTGCACAAAATGTTTCTTCTTCCACGTTCCTTCTGTCATTATAAAAAATAATAGGTATCATAATTGCTTCACTTCTTCTTTATATTCGAAGTATTGCCGCTGCAATTCATCACATCTCCCGTTAGTAAACCATTGCCTTGCATTGCCCTATGGCCGTTAAAGTAAATAAGTGGAATGCGCCAGAAATTGTCGGAATCGCGCCAAAATAGCAAACTAAGATGAGAAAAAATAACCGCACCCCTAAAAACCAGCGTTACCGCTGGCGTCTCGCTGGTTTCCCCAGATTCTCACGAAAATTTCCCTATTTCAAAAACCATTTCCCTAGATGCGGTTTTTCATGGAATTTGCCGTACTCTCCTCATTTTAACCCTTCGCGTTTATAGCCGCTGCGTCCAAAAACAGCAACAAACTACATTCTGTAACGTTAATGTAGGGGATTCTCATGAAAATGCGTGGTATATCGCAAATCACCGTACCATCGTGTGGTAGGTATAATATAATTGCGTGGTATATCGCAAATTGTGGTGTGCTGCCGCTGCGCGACGCGGGAAACTTCCGTATGAGTAGTAGTAGTGCTGGCGTAAGAGACGAGTCGATGCATTATTTTAACATTATCGTTGCAACGCCATTGCAGTCTCCCAGTAACGCAATATTGTTATTTGTGACTGGGTTTTGACACAAAACAGACAAGTATATCCAGTATATGCATTTTGAAATACATGTGACAGTTGACACACATATGCGTCTCATGAACCGAAAACAAGAGTTGAGAGTCTGAGACATACCACGGTATATAGAGAACTAGGTAAAACCGGTTTGCCGCCACAACACTAAGGTATTTTGACCACTTTCTTCAGCTGACCTTTTAGAACCAAAAACGAAAAGTAGCCCATATATTTGGCTTATAATAATTACACACATATTAATTTGAAGAGCATTATCACAGAGGAAGCGACGAGTAAATCTGTGTGATAATAATTAAAATAAAATCAAGCAATTTGCACCATTTTCCCCCAATAATTTATTTAACGTTACGGATGTTTATTGCATCTGAATTTCATTTTGTGTCTTCAAATAATAAAATTAATAATAGATCTACACAAATATCCACAATAACAGCTTTATTCAATTTCTAGGAAAACCATGGCCTATGCCCACTTCTCATTCACGACGTAGTAATGTTTCAAAGCAATGGTTTGATTATTCATCATTCACCGGTCCACAACCGCGCTATATTTAGACTTAAAAAAGATTTTTCTACAATATTAGCTATAAATTATCAAGGTTCATGCCTGACATTCAAAAATATTCAAAGAAACATAAATTAGAGCTGCAGTTCTATCAGGTCCCCGCAGCACACCTCACACGAGCTGTCTCAAAAACAAAAGGGAGTCGCGATCTATAAAAAATACGAAAAAATGCAGAATTGATCATTCTATAAGTTGGCCAATTCCTGATACGAAGTCAAACTTGAAACGTACTCATTTTTGGTTCCAAACATGAAAGTTTGCATTTACCTGGTACTCAACTTTGAACAAAATCGCACATCTTTTGGAAAGTTAAACGTAATTGTTGAAAAATTATACGTTTTCTGAAAGAGCAAACTTTTTTACGCTTAATGCATGTAACAAATTGGGTATCAATCTTTGAAAGATCATAAAATTCACGCCTGAAGTATGTCACTGTTTGCTTCGCGTTGGGTGACGCCTTCACATTGTCTGGATGATTACTCGAAAACAAGAGAGAGTCGCGATCTATTGAAAGATGAAAAATGTACAGAATTATCCATTTAATATACCTTGTAAATCTCAATACCAGGTCAAACTTGAAACGCACCCAATTTCGGCCCCAAAGACATCAGAACGATTTTACACGAGGTACATCAGTTCGTAATGGCGTATGCTGGTGTTCGATGTTTGTGCTCATGATGCTTTTGCTTTTTATTTCAGCGTTTGAAGACGAAATTCGAGGCATGATTGGCTCAGAACAGCTAAGCTCATTGCCAAGATTCAAATTATGAACAGTTTGACAAGCATTGTTTGTATTGTATTGTAGTGTATTGGTAGGGGTTTAAATTTGAGATTTCAGCGAATTTCAAATTAGAAGTGATGTAACAGTTGTGTCATTGCCGAGCAATTATGAAATTCTTCCAAATGCCATGTTGGAGGGATTGGAAAGCCATATTGAAGTATCATTGGCGATATTGGCTAGCCAGTTCACATAGGTACCTAGCAGAGACCAGAGTTGTTTGATATTTGATAAATATTTGGTTGGTAGGTACCTTTTCATTTGAATTAAAGCTGGAACTGGAACATAACAGTGAAGAAAAGGATGCTGATTACTTGATGTATTGAAAATACCAACTGGGCCCTGTTCATGTTTCACCGTTCTGCTTCTGACACTGCGCACGCTGCAGCGTGCTGGGAGCTATAGCATACCAGCAGCGCGTTGGGTGTTCATGGTAACATTACAAACTCGGATGCCTCAATGCTGAAGCTTTGAGCCGAATTCGTCTTGAACGCTGCACCAGCGCTCTGCAGTGCACGCACCATCCAGATCGTGAAACAGGGCTCTGGTCGTAGATGTTGATTTCTTTGTAACTGGTAACGGAAGCATCAAGCATGATGAGCAGCACCATGAAGAGTGAGTTGCTGCCGCTGGTATGGAAATATAAGTACCTTTTTGTCTTTTAGCAGAGCTAGACATTAAATTTGGTATCCTTTTACAAACTTACTAATGGATGTCAAGATGTTGCTAACAGTGGTGCTGGCACCACCAACACCAGTCTATCTCTTTATGCTGGTGTTTCATCCCTCTGCACTGCAGATGGTTGACAAAGCACAAAGCAAAGCAAGCACAAAGCATTCACTCAGTTCCTAATCTCGGTCTCCGCTGCTCTCACCTGTGTCAGCTGTCTTGTCTACCCCTGTACTCCTGAGTCCTTACTCCCTCTCTCTTTCGCTTTACCCAGGTTTTGTCAATGTTCTGCATGTACAGTTGCTGCTTTTTGGTGCGCCCAGGCTGTCCATCCAATTAACGCCTGAAGAGTTGCTGAAAGTGCCTCCCGCCAGACTTGCTGAATGGCTATTACCTGCATCTGCTATCTGGACTGAAGCTCCCCCAACTAGCTGACATGGGTCTCGGCAGCTGGGCTTAATATGTCACAGGTCAAAGGTCATTTGGGTCAGGGTCATGGAATTTTAAGGACTTGTGTAAAATTGATCAGCTCGAGGGTGCTGAAAGTTTCGTCTCAATCGGCCTCTTTTTTTACGCGAGCTATCGGCGAAAAACCGAGAAGGGGTCCGTTCGACCCCCCCCCCATACGGATGAGGGTTAAGCTACATTCGGAAATTCAAACTACATCTAGCTAGGCACATCAGCCCATCATGGGCGTTTGACTAGTAAAATATAAACGTTTCAGCCTTATGTGACGTTGAATAAGCCTAATTTTATTATAGAAGGTCGTCATTATGTGTCTGCTGCGGCTTTTGTCGTCTTCATTGTGTGCTTTGTGGTTTTTTAGTTTTGATCATATCATCCTCCACCAGGCTTGTTTCTGACGGTGGTTCTGGAGACAGCGGGTCGATCCAGCTGTAGGACGTCATCTGGAGGTGGAAGAGTGTGATGGCCAGCCACGCGGCGCGCGTATCGACATTGACCAGAAACCATCACATCATCTCCAGGTCAGTAAACTAGGTCAGCGACGTCACGGCAATTCTGTGACCCGTCGCCGCGTCCTTAGGTGGGTGGCTCGGGGGAACTTTTTGTGTTGCCGGGATGGGATGTCTGCTAATGCAGGTGCCGTTGCAACGTGAAGTGTCGTGACGTATGATGGGTCTCAGGTTCGGGCTTTAAAGGGACCCTCCCACCTTAACATTAGATTTGAGTTGAGATAGCCAAAATGGGGTCCCTGGCTCACAATTACCGGTTTCGGCATTCACAACATCGAGAAATGCCTTAAATCGGAAATATTGAATTTCAAAATTGCAGCATTTTGATTCAGAGGGGCTAATGCATAGGAATACCCCTCTGAATGTGTGACGTCATCGCAGATATCTAACGATTTTTAAATGTTTGACTAAAACGTTTTGTAGCACGCGGTGGTATATGCTGCTTTGCGCGCAACAAATGCCGCACTTTTAAATAAAGTCGCTAGGAACAGCGGAGATCCCAAAAAGTAAACAAAAGTAAAAGTAATATCTTGAAAACCGGTGAATATTTTTCGATGAAATTTGGTAGATATTGGTTTTCGCTCTTTCTGAACCGAGCGACATCACTTTCATGCCAATTCATTAACTTTTTTGAAGGTGGGAGGGTCCGTTTAATTTATCGAGTGAGAAATTTGTGTACATACAGGCTAATGTACTGTTATTCTAGCTGAGTGTGCGACAGGAAACATGATGAGCTATGAACCGTGGTCGCCGTGGCTCATAGTGGTATATGACGACCGTCGTGAGTCGTGACCTGTGACGGTCACCGTGACTGCTATGTGACGGTCGCCGCGGCTGGTATATGACGGCCGCCGTGACTTCTATAACGGCCTTCGTGACTGAAACGTGACGGTCGTCTTGACGTGCCGCGACTCGCTGCTTTACAGGTCACTGGTCGCGGGCGCTCGAGCTGACGGTGTCTTCCAACGGCTCCACGGTGACCAGCGCCGCAACCGCCGAGACCATCCGACTCCTGAAATGATAATGGCCGTACACGAACAAGAGGCTCTAAGCATCCAGGTGCAAGCAAGCGCCATGCTCAGAGGCGTCATCCGAAGAAGGTCGCACAGGGCACTTAAGGCTGAGCTCGGGTGTAGTGCGCGCTGACGGATAGGATGAAATGACGGCCATCATCTTTCAGTGCGGAGATCAAGATGGTCGGAGCCGACGTGGCTCCGTTGATGGTGCGCCGGGGTTGATTGAGAGTGGAGGCGAGACACCCGGATCTGTGAAGGATACGTCGATACAGGTCTCGACGTCGTCTCGCAATTTGTGCGATGTAATATGACGGCTATGCCGTGGTCTCATTCACTCTCGATACGCTGATAAATCATAAATAGGACAGAGGCTGGAATAAAGATGATTATATTCCATATTTGGATGTATAATATAAGATATAATTATATTCATATAAGATTATATTATATTTGGATGTAAGGGGCAGGTTTTTGCCAGCGCGATATTAAAAATCGTGAGCGTGATAGTTGTAATCACTCGCGCTTTTTTTGCTGAGCATCTGTGAGCGAGAAAATACTTTCTCTGGAACTTAGCAGTTCGCCGTGAAATATGTGTATCTTTGGAGTAAGTTGTCAGAGCAAGTGCATTTTTGGTGCATCCACTGCAGCTGCTGTTCTGGAACAGAAACATGTCGAAATCGGCTGTATGTACGCTGTGGCAAAATCAAGCAGCCGTACCATGAATCAAAAGCGATATCTGAATTAAAGTGAATATATTTCACTATCTTTTTCCGTTTTATCATACAGATCACACAAATGCGTCAAATACTGATCACACCCGGTTCCAAACAAAAACGCTTGCGATCACTGAAAGTGAAAAGTAAATAAACAATAGATACCCAGATGGCTGAGTGGCGCGATCCGAGGCTCTCTCTCACTGTTGTTACTGACGCACACAGGACAATACGGCCGAATCGGCCACAATGGAGAGCACGGAACGATGCTGGTGACTGGCGGACCAGCGAAAACAGGAAAGGAGATGGATAGCTCTAGCTCCCGTCTGCGCGCGGAAGGGCGCAGATTGACGCGGCTCACAGACTCCATTGGCTTATCAGGCTGTTGTCGGTTTTCTCCCTCCCCTCCCACAGGCGTAGCCAGGTAGCTAAGTTGTGCGCGGAAGCGAGCGGCCAGAGCGGCGCTAGGCGTCACCCTCTTGCGACCGGACAGCGCAGCTGGACGTGCCGCGGATGGTCCGCCGCCTCCGATCTCGGCACGCTCTGCAGAGTGCGGCCGGACGCTCCACGGAGTAAGATAGCGTCGATAGGCCGTATGGTGTCACTGTCGTAATTACAAAAGCGTAAGTAGAAGGTTGAAGCAAGGTAGAATGCTATCTTTTTCGAGCTTTGTTAGACATAGTGTTGGCCGTTTCTTCACATATAATATTGCAAAGCACAGCTTTATGCGCTGGCTACGATATGTGCGTGTCGGTTGCGGCAGTAATAATCGAAGAAATATATGATTTATTAACGTTTCTTGATCATAGAATGATAAAACATTGCAATGTTTGCCTGTTGTGAAGAAAACTGCTATACTGCCGCTCTATCGTCCGGAATTATTCGTGTTCGATTACGTCGATTCCGCCACTCTATCAGCTGATTTTTGTTTCCGAGTCACGTGACCAACCGGTGTCTCCCTGAGACATACATAGGTATTGCCAAGGCCCTAAATACAAGGTTGCACGGACTTATTTCTACTAAACCTACCAGAATATAGTTTCACGGTTGATTATTTAAATAATTATTCAATCAAAATTTCTTTATTATTATCTCGTAATCATTTATAAGCAATTTTATAAATCAACTTTCAATTTGCTTGCCTTTTACTAGCAAAATAACTTTTCTAGTATTGGGTCAACATAGTGGTGTAGCAGTAGGAACCACATCTGGCAAAACCCCAATGCCTACATACAGCAGAAAAGCAGCCACCAGGTGTCGCCACAGTCGCCACTTGGTCGCCACACAGATGTCGCGCGCGTCGCCAATCGCCACACTACCGATTTCCATAAGGACGCATATGTACGGATATGTATAGGAAAGTCGCCCTTAAGGATTACGCTTACATCCTTTGCTTATGAGGTCGGTGGTTGGAAATTGGGAGGGGCTCAGCTATTTTCGACCACGGATATGCCTTTATCACATGATGAGGAACATGCTGATAAGCGTTTTATGCGTCATAACAGCACAAAAGTATTTTTAATCATTTTTCAAAAATAGCCGTTCTGCCGTATCTTTCAGTGCAAGGTGCCGTCGGTCATCCCCGACGTGACGTCACGCAGGGAATTTGCCAGATTTTCCTACTAGACTTCGACACCCCCTGGGTATTGCCTTCGTGGCCCGGCCTGGCCTGGCTTCGCTAGCCACCGCTACTCACCGACACCGTTCAGTCGACCACACCGAGAGTCACACCGGCCACTTCCTTCGACTGGCTGCGGTGGCGTGGGCCATTTTTCATCACGTCCTGCAGCAGGGAAGCGGACGGCTCGAACATAGTGCAGCCAGCGTTGCCACTCTCTTTAATCGCCTGAGAGGCGAGCATGCGTCCTTTTGTTGTTGCCACCAGCAGGCGATTCGTTTGGTTGGTTTTAACCCTGTTCATTTGCGAGAACGTGCGTTCCACAGAGGCCGTCGAGTGAGGCAGAGACATCATATTCCCCATCAGCTCACACAGATGTTGAAATCTAGGCTGTCCCACAGCGTTCTTCAGTTCAGCCACTTTGGCCCAGAACACTGGCGGTGTTTCCTCCTTCACCGCCACGGGCGCAGTCGCCAGCGCTGCTGGGAGATCACGCCCGGCCCCCGCCGAAGTTAGTTGGTAGCACTGCTGCTCCACGGCGTACATTTCCTACCAGCCCATAGGGTTTACGTGTTAAATGGCCTGTTTTCGGCGAGCGATATCTCGGTCAACCTTTGAAGGAATCAATGGTTCTTAGTCTCAAATGATAGATCGATGAATTTTCTTTCGACAATTCCTCTACCATTTTTCACGAAACCCAGCCGATCTTCTACGGCGTACAGGGTAAAGATTTCTCTGCACGCCAGCACCCGCGATCCGCCTCTCCGATCGTCGGCGCGCGTTCCTCGGTAGCGCAGTCGGTAGCGTATCGGGCTACGGACCCGAGGGTCGTGAGTTCGAATCCTGGGAGCGCCACGTGATTTTGGCTATAATTGAATGATGTAGATTCTTGAATGTTTGCATTATCAATTATTAATAGCTAATTGAATGTATCTGCCCACTAATCGGCCCCTAAAACCTGTTATTTAAGAAATTTAAGAAATGAATGTCACGCGCGCGTCACGACTGCCAACCATAAGCGCTACCATATTCTAGTTTGAACTAACTTTTTGCTAGTCCCGACCACACATAGTAGGTTTTCTAGTAGTTATACTAGAAATTCCTACCAAAGTTCGTCCTACCCTTCACTCAATATACCCTGGATCACGCCACTCATCACAGACATCATCCCTGTCAGCATCCTTTACCAGGTGTTTGAATCTGGCTAGGAGCGGTGCCAGTGTGCGAGGACGCTCCTCGTCCTGCCGGTAGCATGGCGACCCGCGGCGAGAGCACTTTCAGCTCTGCCAAAATGCTGTTGCGGTCTAGGTCAAACCGCTTCCGAATCTGACTGCACAGGTCCTTTAGGAAGGATTGCGCGTCCGTTCGAAGCACTTTTTCGCCGGAGCCCAGCGGCTCCACCATCAGGTGGGTTTCGCAGCGACCGCCGAGGTTGATGCGGTCCAGGCTCATCGCGATATCAGCTTCCGTCGGGTTGATCTCGTGAAGCGGAACCGATGACAGCACCGCGGGCTTCACGTACATGGCGAGCAGTAAGCGGTATCCGTCACTCATGTCCTGATACAGACGATGCAACTGGAAGTCTTCAGACTGGAAGATCAAATTTAGTTGGTCGACCTTCTTGAGCACAAAGCTTACGAAGAGCAGCATGTGCTTGGTGCCAGGCTCCTTCATCCTTTTCGCAATCTCCGTTGCTCGGTCTACCTTCCCTTGTCTGGGCTTCGGCGGAGAAGAAGAGCAGCAGAGGCTCCCACTGCTCGAGGATCCTGTGGATGACAGCGCCTCGCGACAGCCAGCGTGTCATGGCCACCTTCGGAATGCTGTGGCATGGCGCTTTGACAGCCTCTTGAAGCAGCGAGAGCGTTTCTTGTCTTTTGGGGCTTCGGGAGAGGTAGCTTGCGATATCTTTGATGAGCGTTTCCAGCCAGTCGGGCAGGCATCTTGCCGCGTGCCCAGCACAGAGTGCTAATGAATGGCAACTGCAGCCCATAACGAAGACATCCGGCACGACATCTTTCAAAAGCTTTTGGAATCCAGCATTTCCTCCCATCATTGTAGAGCAGTTATCTGCACCAAAGCCAATGATGCTGTTCTTGTCCATGCCTGCAGCTTCAAGTGACTTCATCACGGCGTCAAAAAGTCCTGGAGCGGTTCCATCGAACGGCTCCACAAGGTCTAGCATGAAGTCTCTTGTGGCCATATCATCTTTCACGTACAGCCTGACAACCAGTGCCATGACCTGACGGACGGAAACATCAGTCGACTCATCAATCATGATGCTGTACTTTCGGTTTTTGCACAGTTCTGCCACACGACGGGCCTCGTGTTCACCAAGCCCATGGACTGTTAGGTAAGACATCTTTGTTCTTTTTGCCGATGCAGTCTTAAGAATTTCTGAATCAGGGGCCGCGTGTCTTATCATATCCCAGAAGTGGTCCCCCAGGATGAATGGCAGGTCGTGCTCGGCGAAGAACGCAGCGACTATGGTCTCGCAGCGGGCCACCTTGGTGTCTTTTGCAGTGACTGGTTCTTCTTTCGGAGCAAAAAATTGAGTCAGCTTCGTTCCAGCAGAGGAAGATATAGCTGCCTTGTGTCCCCTGCTTAGCATATGTCGTTTGAGGGCGGTTTTGTTGGGGTCCTTAAAGAGGAAGCGACAGGGTTGGCAGAGGCATTTGGAGCAGTCCTCAGTGTCCTGTATGAGCCAGTCCTTAAATTCTGGATCCTTCAGCCATTCTGCTCGAAAGGATTGTGGGTAGCTTTTCGGCTTCTTCTTAGGTGGCGTCTCACATCCGGATGAGGAAGGGGAGTGTGATGCCATGACCTGAGAGAAAAAATATTACTATTAGGCTAGGACCAGGGCAATTGACTTGGATTAACAGGATGTGCCTGACTTGCAATTGTTTTCTATATTCGCGAATTATCATTTTTATAAATAATGATTAATGTTAGCACCAATTAGTGTACCTATAGCTCCCGTAGTACGTTCAATTGCAATATGTATGTTAAAAATAAGCGAGCTCAGATCTTTTGGACTGATTTCGTCTTATTTGGCCTTCACTATCACACAACTAAATATGCAACGTCACATGCAGAAGATGTGACTGGGCAGAATGTGACCGGGCATATGACCGTGCATTCTAAATTAAACCAAATATGCAGGATACCGCCGTTTTAACCCACGAACCGCTGGGAGAGGAGGGGGATGGTCATAAAGCTGCCCCTTACGTTTTATGTGGTAAGATTCGTTATTAGGTACGATATACTGACACCAGGCAGACAAGCCAGAAAGTAGAATTTCACACAATCTTACAGTGTACGCCAGACAAGGCCTTTAAAATTGCAAAATTATCTCACATTTTTAATGCAGTTTTGCAAAGCATTGATCAAAAAATCATTTTAATTTAACCTGTTCCTATATCAAGATTGAATAGGTAAAT